AAGGGGTTTAGTAGTGTGTGAAATAAGGGTGAGAAGGGGGAAGTTTCTCCCTTCCTGAGTGTTCACAGGGTGGGGATCACAAACTCAGACAGTGCAAGAATGAGCCTTCATGCAGTGATCATCCATGTGGAGGATGCTGTGCTCCAGCAGTGCATCCAAGCACTGCTGTCTGCGTACAGAGGGACTCCTGTGAGCCTGTACTGGAAGGTGGCTAATCCCTTCACTGGGTTGGAGCAGGCAAGCTCAGCATTTTCACAGGATCATAGAATGGTTTGGATTGGAAAGGACCTTAGGTTCATCCAGTTCCAACCCCTTGCCATGGGCGGGGACACTTCACACTAAACCATGGCACCCAAGGCTCTGTCCAGTCTGGCCTTGAACACTGCCAGGGATGGGGTATTTACCATTTCTCTGGGCAACCCATTCCAGTGCCTCAGCACCCTCACAGGAAGAACTTCTTTACATCCAACCTGAAGTTCCCCTGTGTAAGTTTAAACCCATTTTGCAGGATGGAGCCCTGCCTTGCGCAGCGTTTCAGTGTATCGGAAGGAGCGCTGTGGCTATTCTCTTGGCCTCCCCATTAAGATCTCAAACTTTCCCAGAGAACTGGGCAGAGCAAAACAGAGCCCCAGAAAAGGAGCAATTAATTAAGGAGCTCTGTGCCTTCTCCTGGTGTCGACCCTGGCAGTGCCTGTGAACAGCATAAATGCACTTGGCCTTGCTGTCCAGAGCTCTGATCTGGGGGAAGCTGAGCTGCAAAGGGTCTCCTTTCAAAGCCTCTCTTGTCTTCTTTGCTAGCACGTACAAGGACAGTGTTACAGACATTACTGCTCTGCTTGGAATGGCTAAGGAAAAGAGCTCGACAGATTATTGGGCTTGTTTTTTTCCCCCTTGTGTGTATGTGCTTTTGTTGGAGATGAGGAGTTAGCAGTACTGATGTATTTCAAAGACTCTTGAGTGCACACAGCCCCATCTGACCTAGGCACTTTTGGATCCTTAAGGCAGAGTTCCCAAGTTATTTTTGAATGCTGGAAGTCTTGCAGAGGTCTGGGAATGTTAAATGATGGATTATTTCTATCAGAGAGCATCAGAGTCACAGCCCTGACTGAGACTCCATTGTGCTAGGTGCTGAATGCACACAGAACAGAGTGACTGCTTTTGCCTTCGGTACGCTGAAATCAGAGCTGGAGTCCTCTCCCATCCCTCTTCTCTAATGTGTTTGTACATGCTGAATGTGATACAGAAGCATATCAAATCACTGATACGTTTTTTAATGGCAGATGAATTACAAATAAAGGTTGGATTTGTGTGCATTTGCTTGATGTCTGGAATGGCAGAGGCCAGTAAACAGTGTGTGATGCCTGGATGAAAACTAGCTGTTCACGCTTAGCGTTGATAACATGGCCTGCGTGTATTTTTAGTTCTCTCTGTTAGTGCAGGCCTCTGATCAGTGCTAAGCTGCCATGACCACATGACTTGCATTTACAGCACTCCTTTGATCACTTTGCCAGCATGACATCTGGCTAGTTTCCCTTTGCCAGGGTCCCAGGATCATGGTGAGGCTCTCACAGTTATTTGTATCTATCTTTTTCCCTTTACGATTTCCCTGAGCAGCGAATGGTTCCTCCTCTCTCTGTAGATGTGGGTTTGGGCTTTATTTGTTTGGGGTTTGTTTCCTTCTTTCCAGGCAAATGCAGCCCTACATCAATGATGCAAGGTTCTCTACAGGCTGTCCCAGGGGCCTTACCCTTGCTGTTGTTGAGCACCTTGGGATAGTCCATGAAGTTGTGATGCTAACGGTTCAGTTTTGTACACAAAGGTGGTACTCAGTGTACAAGTTAGAGAATATTGGTCCTCATAGGATGCCTGTTGCTGAGTAAAGACTGAAATCAGTTTCTATGGGAGTTGTTCTGCACTTGTCTTCCCCAAAAGCTCCATCTCAGGCACAGAGAGGCTTTATTCTTGCAGCACAAAATCGATGTGTGACTGTGAAGCATTTGACCATGGTTGACATCTTGGGAGCAATAAGGGCTTTATTTTTCATTACTTTCGGATATCTTGCAGTCAGCAAGCCCCTTGGAAGATAACTAGTCATCATGCCTGGCCTGTTAGTCAGTAGGGAAGAAGAACCAGGTCAAAGTGCTCACAGTAGCATTGCTGGAGACTCTCATCTATCGTAGTAACCTATAGTCACTGGAATGTCAATGCCATGCCTGGACAGCTGCTGAGAATCATAGAATCACAGACTCCCGGATTGGTTTGGGTTGGAAGGGCCCTTAAAGCTCAGCCAGTTCCAACTCCTGCCGCGGGCAGGGACCCCTTCCACTGGAGCAGCTTGCTCCAAGCCCCTGTGTCCAACCTGGCCTTGAACACTGCCAGGGATGGGGCAGCCACAGCTTCTCTGTGCACCCTGTGCCAGCGCCTCAGCACCCTCACAGTAAAGAACTTCTGCCTTCTATCTAACCTGAACTTCCCTGTTTCAGTTTGAACCCATCACCCCTTGTCCCATCACTCCAGTCCCTGATGAAGAGTCCCTCCCCAGCATCCCTACAGACCTCCTTCAGACACTGGAAGCTGCTCTGAGGTCTCCACGCAGCTTCTCTTCTCCAGGCTGAACAGCCCCAATATCCCTAAGAACTGTGAGAAATGTGTGTCTCACTGAATCCTGTTGCTCTGTGGGGCAGGATCTCCTGCAAGGCAGCTGGTACCACACTTTCAAGTGTTGCTTTAAGGACTTCCTATCAGCGAGATTTTAGAGACCTGCACATCAAACCAAGCAGACCTGAGTGGGTACTTCAGCAGTTGCAAGCTTTTCAACATGCTTTAGTCTTGTGCCCAGTCCTGGCCCAATCACAACTGTTATTTATGTATTTAGGGGAAATTCTTTAACTGAAGAGCCCCAGATTGAAATGTTTCAGCAAAGCCTAAAACCTGGGCACAGGTAGCAGGAGAACCTGCATCTCCTGTTTCCCACTGCAGGCCGACCTCTGTGGCCTGGCAAGCAAAAGCGATATTGAACAATTCTGTCCAGTGACTCATTGGTTTATGTTTGTTGTTTGTATTGCTATAGCAGTTGAGGCTCTTAAGCTTTGCATCCAAGACCTTGTTGTGCCAGGTGCTGCAGGAACATGGAAAACTGAAAAACAAACCAGAAAAGCCTTGTGAGGAAGGACATGGGTTTCTGTGTGACCCAAGACAACAGATGGCTCCAGATGGGGGAGCACAAGGAACTGATGAGATAATACTGACCTGTGCAGTGAGTAATAGTCTTGGTACGTCACTTATCTAAACACTGCTGAGGTTTTGTAGACGCTACAGCAAAGGGCAGCTTGAAGGAGGATGATCAAGTGACGGCAGAAGTTTATAGTAACATCCCAGCAAGAGAGAAGGGGAGCACAGGGGAAAGAGGCAACTGAAAATGATGCTTGAGGAAAGATACTTGGTTAGCATCGTAGGTGCTGTGGTCATGTATGAGTGCAGGTGTTGGAACAAAGCAGAGACAAAATGTGTTTGTTGGAGCAAGGAAAGCAGAGCCCATGGGGAAGAGAAACCTACAGGCACACTACGTATTCAGGCTTGACCTGGAACTTTCCTCTGGTGTGTTTACTACTAGAAACTCAAGGAAAAAGAGAGTTCTGTTTCTCTGGATCATAACCTTTAACCATCATGTGACATGAGGGAACAGATGAGAGAAGCCGAATGTGTGTGTTCCTTTATTTGTGGTGTAGATGCCTCCATCAGGGGTGAAGGGAAAACGCTGCTTTGTGTAGTGGTGTTTATTTAAACTTCAGTTGAACAAAATTAGCCTGTGCAGAAACTTCAGTGAACATCCTCTTTCAGTTGAAAGCTTGCAGAGCAAGGTGCGAGTCAAATGCCAACCCCAGCAATTAGCACACAGCCTTTCATGAGTGTTAAACTGTGCTTAATCTCTACTGATCAGGTTCTTTTGCTCCTACACGCTCTCTACAGCTATAATAGTGTCAAGTTAAAGATGAACCCAGAGGCAGCAGCGACCCAGTCCATGGGTTTTGTGAAGCAGCTCACTCCCTCATCTTGGTTTGCTTCCCATGCAGCATTGAGAGGAAACACAGCTGACTCTCTTTGGGAAGCTCTCACTGGCTTGAGGATGTCCAGGAGCCCAGGTGCTCGGAGCCCACAGTGTTAAAGGTATTGCTTGGAGTGTGGCTTCCCCACAGCAAAAAATAAACCTTTAAAAGGTGTGTTGCTGTTGATAGGAAGGTGTCTTACTAAGGAAGTGGAGAGTCAAGAAAGCTTTTTGTATCCTGTGTAATACAGCATGATGTGGCTGCAGAACAAGAGAGAATGTGTTTAAATAGAGTCCCCAGAAGGCTGTTGGAGAAATAGCTTCGTAATAGGAAATGCATTGGTTGCTTCTGCGTAACATAATATCCCAGATGTGTTCTCCGCAGCAGGGACCTCTTTCAGCTGAAGCATTTTGAGTTGTGTGGAAGGAGTCCAGGCTGGAAGGCTCTTTTAGCAGTTAGCTTTGGGTTTGCCACTAGAGGGGGATGGCAGGACATACACTGTGCATCATCCATCCTGGGGCCTTCCCCTGCCACCTCTCAGTGCTAGCACCAGTAGCAGGACCCTCTCTGCTGAGCTTTGGGATGCCACAGCACCCATAAAGGTCAGATGTTGCAGCCAAAACCGCACCTGGACAAGGGGAGCCTGATTGGTGCGATGTCTGGGTGCTTCTCCAATGATGCAGTTCTGCAGAACAGCATTTTTTTTTCCTGCACAGCTACAAAAAGCTCTTTGAGCATGAATGGTGTTAAGTGAAAGCTGAGTAGGGTTTGTGCAATCTCCCTGAGCCGTGGAGATGTGTGCATAACCCCTCTCCATCCCTGGATGAAGGAGCGTAACAGCAGCATACCCAGAAGTGCCATTAAACTGGTCAAAGATGAAACAGAAACATGAGGGCTTTATAACAGACTCACCTGCGTGCTGGGCCTGACCTGCCTGTTTCTTGGTGCTTGCAGGGCTTTTACCCGTGTGTTCACCTTTGGCCCAACGTTCCGAGCGGAGAACTCACAGAGTCGCCGGCATCTGGCAGAGTTCTATATGGTGGAGGCTGAGCTGTCCTTCACCGAGAGCCTTCAAGACATCATGCAGGTGAGCACTCCAAGTGTCTGTGCAGGACCAGTGCCAGAGCTGCTGCTTCCTCCCTGAGCTGTGTTTCCTGCCCTCAGTTGAGGTCATAGCTCCTTTCGCCTTATGTAGAGGTTGCAAAGAGGCTTTCCAAGGATCAGGGTTTGCTCAGCAGAAGTGAAGCCACAGAGGGAATTTGGAAGGGAAGAGAGAGGTGCCAACACAGCCCTCATCTGAATGGGAGGCTGCACAGTTGCTGTGTTGCTAGGAAATGTGTAAATGTGCTAATGAAAGTGGCACTCTCCCCTTCCAACTCTGCAGCATCTCCAGTGAGTCTGAGCAGTATCTATGCAGTGTGTCCCTGGGTATGCTTGTAAGGAGCTTCTTGAAACCTGCATTGAAATCTGAAGCAGAAACAGCAGTTCCTGGCATACACTATTCACTGTGGCTTTAGCAGAGGACTGAAAGAAATCCTTAGTCAGCCAGCTTTTGGTTTTTCAGGATTGACCTCTTGGTTGCAGTTTAACCTCATGATGGATGCTAAAGCATTGTACTAGTCTCAGCACAAGCCAGCTTGTTCCCAGTAGGACTTGTAAGTAAACATCCACATGCTGTCATATATCAGATAAGCTCCTTGGGAAGCTATTGGAGAAACAGCCTTAAAAAGAAAAAGACCTGAGGCACTGTAAGAAGTAACATCCATGTGTTGGATTCTTCTGCCTGGATCACATACAGGCAGCTGAGTCAGTATGGCCTGAGCAGAGCTGACATCCTCTATCTCTTGTGTGTGCTGCTTCTGCATCTTGGGTGTCTGGATGGCAATGGGCTGTATAAGCTGACCTGCTGGGAATCTCCGCTCCGTCATTCATAGCATCCCTTTCTTTATTTTCTTTCACCTTTTCTCCAGGAGAACTTTGTGTATTTTTAGAGCACGGCATAAATCTGCGTTTATGCTTTCTGAGCTCCCTCTTTCTCTAGGTAATAAGGAGCTGATTGAAGTTTTTACTGCCTTTATCTAGTATAATAAGCAGGATTTTCCCTTTGAGCCCTTGAGCACATCATTAAGATATAAAATCTTAGAGTCACAGACTTGTTTGTGTTGAAGGAGACCTTAAAGCTCATCCACCTCCAACCCCTGCCACAGGCAGGGACCCCTTCTACTGGAGCAGCTTGCTCCAAGCCCCTGTGTCCAACCTGGCCTTGAACACTGCCAGGGATGGGGCAGCTACAGCTTCTCTGGGCACCCTGTGCCAGCGCCTCAGCACCCTCACAGGGAAGAGCTTCTGCCTAAGAGCTCAGCTCAGTCTCCCCTCTTTCAGTACTGTGTTTTTGTGTATCTGTACTTTTGTGCTGAGAACCCTCATTTCTTGCCTTTTTAAAGGACAGATAGCCAGTTCAGTCAATTCAGAGAATTAGATCTGAGAACTGTTCTGGACTGTGTAGGGCTTTTATTGTAAGGAAAAGAGGAACTTCCCTCCTTGGCTTGGCTTTTGTTGTTGCTAAAGATCTTGTGAAGTCTCTGCTTGTGCTCTTCTCTTTCTCTTCTTCCTTCGTGTTCCAAAGTCTTACCCTATAGCAGAAAGCCTCCCAGCAGCCATAATTTTGTATTCCTCATAGCGAGCCTGCATTGCAACACACTTACTTCTGTGCTGTTCTTGTTTGCAGAAGTGGAGTTCCCATTTCACTTATTTTTAAACCATTGGGCAATCTCTCCTTCAAAACAAAACAAACCTGACAGCTGCTCTAAAGCCATAAACTGAAGTTTCTCTTTCCCCTCATCACTGACCTAAATTCACTGTTCTGTCATGGATCTGCCCCTTGGGCACTTGGTTTGCTATCATCTGTATATTCTTTGTTCAGTGTAGAGCTCCCAGTTGAGAGCCTCAGGGGCTCTTGGCCAGGGTGAGCATCTGAACTTTGGCCTCACATAAGAGCTGGATTGTTTAAAACTTGAGTTTTAAAACTGGTATTCAACATGTACTGAATACCTCTTCACTGCAGCAAGTCAGTGTGCTGGGAATGCTCAGTGTGAGGTGTGTGCTTATACACCATGAAAGAAGAGCCTTGCTATGAAGAGGTACGTGTTTGCCATTCACTGGCTTGAGAGTTTTCTCTCAGCCAAAGCTCCAAAAGACACATTTCCTTACAAAATTAAAGGAAAAGGAAGAGTTAATAACAAAGTTACACGTATTTGGGAGCAAAGGGCCTGGAATCTTGGAGCAATGGTCTTTTTTCCCCACCGTAATAGCCTGGAATAGTGCTTGGTTATTCCTAAATTAGTAGCACAATTCCTGTGAAGTCTCATGTGTCTTGATCATGCAATCTAAATGCGTGTTTTGTGCCAAAATGTGTTTTAGAGCTACAAAGAAGCTTCAACTCTCATGGTGCTGGTTTCACAATACTTTCTGTGGAAAGTCCCATGTGCTCAGTGTAGTACTCAACCCTGCATGGCTGGGTGACAGTGTTGCTACTTTAGTGCAGAGGGTTTATGTGAGTGTATCTCAGAAGCATCATCTGTGGTCTCTTCCAGAATAGTCGAGTGAGGTTCCCCTAAGGCATTTAATGCCATCCAGAGGGACCTTGACACGCTTGTGAGGTGGGCTGATGGCAACCTCATGAAGTTTAACCATGCCAAGTGCAAGGTCCTACACCTGGGTCGCAGCAATCCCAGACACAGCTACAGGCTGGGCAGAGAAGAGATTCAGAGCAGCCCAAGGAGAAGGACTTGGGGGTGCTGGGCAATGAGAAAATGAACATGAGCCAGCTTCAGTGTGCGCTTGCAGCCCAGAAAGCAACCGTATCCTGGGCTGCATCAAAAGGAGCGTGACCAGCAGGTCGAAGGAGGTGATCCTGTCCCTCTGCTCTGCTCTCGTGAGACCTCACCTGGAGCACTGTGTGCAGTTCTGGTGTCCTCAACATAAAAAGGACATGGACCTGTTGGAACAAGTCCAGAGGAGGCCACGAGGATGCTCAGGGGCTGGAGCAGCTCCTGTATGGAGCCAGGCTGAGAAAGTTGGGGCTGTGGAGCTTGGAGAAGAGAAGCTGTGTAGAGACCTCAGAGCAGCTTCCAGTGTGTGAAGGGGGCCTATAGGGATACTGAGGAGGGACTCTGCATTAGGGACTGTAGTGACAGGACAAGGGGTAATGGGTTAAAACTTAAACAGGAGAAGTTTAGACTGGATATAAGGAAGAAATCCTTTCCTGTTAGGGTGGTGAGGCACTGGAATGGGTTGCCCAGGGAGACTGTGAATGCTCCATCCCTGGTGGTGTTCAGGTTGGACAAAGCCTTGTGTGAGATGGTTTAGTGTGAGGTGTCCCTGCCCATGGCAGGGGGGTTTTAATTAGATGGTCCTTTCCAACCCTAACTCTTCTATGCTTCTCTTTCAAACTGGATGAGAAAAAGAAGGGAGTTACACAAAGATCAAGTTAAGACAGTATCATAGAATCAGAGACTGGTTTGTGTTAGAAGGGACCTTCAAGCTCCTCCAGCTCCAGCCCCCTGCCACAGACAGGGACCCCTTCCACTAGAGCAGCTTGCTCCAAGCCCCTGGGTCCAACCTGGCCTTGAGCACTGCCAGGGATGGGGCAGCCACAGCTTCTCTGGGCACCCTGTGCCAGTGCCTCAGCACCCTCACAGGGAAGAGCTTCTGCCTAAGAGGTCGTCTAAGTCTCTCCTCTGGCAGGTTAAAGCCAGAGGGTTAAAGGTTAAAGCCCTTGGCCTGTCCCTACAGGCCCTTGTAAAATGGCCTCTTGTCATGAAAAGGAGAGTCTTGTCTGTCAGACCACTCCTTCACAGGCCATTGAAGCTGAACAATAAATGCTGGTGGAGGTTAGGGAGCAGAGAATCTCAGCTGTGGCTGGTAGATGCCACTTCACAGAAGGAACTTGTAGCCCTGCAGATACCCAGATGTCCCTATAGAGCCCTGTGCAGGGCACTTGGAGCAGATCCTTTCCACATGCTTACCAGTGTTTGTTCCCTGGAGCCTCCAGTCAGATTTGCCCAACTGCCTTTGCCTTGGCACTGAAGACAAAATACTCCACGCACAAACTGCTTTGGGAATGGACCCCCACCCGTGTATCAGATCTGAGGTGGCCTGAAACAGACACCCAGCTTCGGCACTACTGCTGACTTCATTTCATGCCTCGAATCCCTTCTGTAAATGGAGGTAATAATGCTCCATGTCGCTGGTCTGCAATGACAGCAGACTAATTTTGATGAAGTACATAACCAGTGGAAGACAATACTTCTGCCCTCGGGGCAGAGCCCAAATACTGTGTGTTGAATTGTGTTCTTCATCTTAAAGAGGTGTATTGTCCATCTCTTAAAGAGACAATCCTGCTAGGATGTGACCTTGTCAAGGAAGACTAACGCTATCCAGAAACTCCCAAAAATACACTCAGGAAAACTTCCTTCTGGCATTTCCTAATTTTACATAATAATATGGGTTTTAACATTTTGTGTGTGTTTGAATTCAATAATGTCTGCATGTATGAACTCTTTGAGACCCCATTAGTATCATGAGTGAAGTGAGATCCTTTAAATCCAGTGCACTGCCAAGACAGCAGAATGAAGAGCAGAAGATGATGACCTACAAATACAGCTACAAGACACAGCGCTGAAGAGAGGAGGAGAGGGGGGCAGCAGGCGTCTCAGAGGAGAGATGAATGTGGGAACGTTGGACTTTCAGTTCAAGACTGGAGGGGCAATGGCTCCAGTCAATCCAGAGATTTCCATACAGACTGGACCCATTCTACAAAGGTGCTGCGAGGGCTGGAGCAGCTCTGTTCTGGAGCCAGGCTGAGAGAGCTGGGCTGGGGCAGCCTGGAGAAGAGAAGGCTCCTGAAGGGGAGACCTTAGAGCAGCTCCAGTGCCTAAAGGGGCTGCAGGAAAGCTGGAGAGGGGCTTGGGACAAGGGCCTGTAGGGCCAGGCCAAGGGGAATGGCTTGAACCTGCCAGAGGGGAGACTGAGCTGAGCTCTTAGGCAGAAGCTCTTCCCTGTGAGGGTGCTGAGGCGCTGGCACAGGGTGCCCAGAGAAGCTGTGGCTGCCCCATCCCTGGCAGTGTTCAAGGCCAGGTTGGACACAGGGGCTTGGAGCAAGCTGCTCCAGTGGAAGGGGTCCCTGCCCGTGGCAGGGGTTGGGATTGGATGAGCTTTAAGGTCCCTTCCAGCCCAAACCATTCTATGTTTCTATAACAACAGCATCTCTCCAGAGTGGGTCCTGATCTGCTATATAGCTGAGAGAGGAGACTTCATGACCAAGATCAGATGCAAATCTCCCCTCTGTGTATGTGTGTGTCTATGTGCACACACATACGGTGTGTGTGAGCAAGCATGAAGACAAGAAATAGTGGTCCACTTGGTGAATGTTTCATCTGTAAATACCCTGTGATCTACACTGCGGCCATATGCATGGCCGAGGTAATGCAGCAACACAAATTCAACTGGCTGCTCTTGTGAGTTTCCTGAAAGTGTCTTGTGCAATGAAGATGGTGACTTGAGCCCTTCTTGTAGTACACAGCACCTTCAATTGCTGCTGCTGACACTTAGTGCTGTTTTTTGGATGACTTTCTCTGTTTCAGCTCTGGTTATAATTTTATTTGGGAAGAGCATAAGTTGCAATATCAGAAGATCCAAGTTAAAATTAAATAATACAGCTGGGAGCTGCTCCTCATCTAAATTGGACAGTTAACCATTAAGTTCCGCAGCAACATCAGGGAAAGCCAGAATTGATACTGCTGAACTGCTTTGAAAGGTGAAGAGAGATAGGCTGGGAGGGAGAAGGGGGAACATCTCTTTGTCCTTCTCTGCCCTAACAGCAAAACTTCTGCATTCCCATTATGAAGCACCGATATTGATGGGCTTTTGGGCATCAGGAGTCCCTCCCCTGGGGTGAGCTAATTGTTGTTATTCCAATGGCTTTTTCCCCAAGTCATTTACCAAACAGAGAATCCCAGACTGGTTTGTGTTGAAAGGAACCTTAAAGGTCACCCATTTCCAACCCCTTGTCATGGGCAGGGACCCCTTCCACTAGAGCAGCTTGCTCCAAGCCCCTGTGTCCAACCTGGCCTTGAACACTGCCAGGGATGGGGCAGCCACAGCTTCTCTGGGCACCCTGTGGCAGCGCCTCAGCACCCTCACAGGGAAGAGCTTCTGCCTAAGAGCTCAGCTCAGTCTCCCCTTGGGCAGGTTCAAGCCATTCCGCTTGGCCTGTCCCTACAGGCCCTTGTCCCAAGCCCCTCTCCAGTGCCTCAGCACCCTCACAGGGAAGAGCTTCTGCCTTACATCCAACCTAAATCTCCCCTGTTTAAGTTTGAACCCGTTACCCGTTGTCCTATGACTACAGTCCCATGTTTCTTTCAGGATATGTTCAAACCCATCACTTGGCCTGTATCTCCAGCTCATGTCTTCCCTCAAACCAACGAGCCAGTGCTTATGTTTCCCCACTCATTTTCATATATAGCCTGTTCTCCAGTCCTTCATTATGCTCAAAGCCAGAACTTCTCAGTTCAACAGCTTTCCCCCCCTCCCTTTCTTTTTCCCCTCCCCTGTTCATGCCTAATGCACATTTGGTATGAATAAGAGCTAAGAGCAGCGAGGAGGCCAACGCATGACCCACATGTCTGTCTCTTTTGCCAGGATAAAAACCTCCATTTCAAACCTGGAAATGTTCCTCAGATTGTTTTTCCCATCCCACCCACCTCTTTTTTCCACAGGAGGAAGCTGCTCATGTGGAATGCTGTGGGAACCTAACTGTTACTTTATCGCGCAGCGAGGAAAAGAAGTGCTAATTAAACAACATGCTCTTCTGAAACCAGATGATACTTTCATTTGCTAGAAAGAGGAAGCTTCATGTAAAATCCCTTTGTCTGCCTGGTGAAACCAGATGAAATGCCAAGAAGTTTTCTAATTTCATTTGCATAAGCCTTTTTCTTGCTACTTTGAAGAAAGTTCAAAGCTGCCTGGTTGGTTATTTGCTACTCAGCAGCAGGAATGCTGGCTTTTCATTTCCTCTGTGTTTTGAGTACCAGGAGGGGGAAAACTCTTCATCTGCATATGGTAATGCTGTTCCTTTATTTGGATCTTGAGGGCCCACGTTGATGCAAGAGTACAGAGGCTGAGTTTGGCTCCAGAGGAGTCAGAATGGATTTACCAGCTCCTCTGGGCTGCTGGGATGCAGAGGTGGTTCAGGTGATGAAGGATGTTCTTCTAAGCATGAGAGTTTGAATAACGTGCCTGAAATCTCATCTTGGCTATGTCAGTAGCCCAGCTTCTTCTTTTCTGTGCCTTTTGTTCCTCTTACCCTCTTAAGATCTGGTGCCTTGCCGTGCAGAGACCTGCTCAGGTCTGCTGATTGAACATCAGGTTTGTCTTGTCACAGTTAGTCTCCCTTGGGCTTTGCTGTGTCTACAGACTGCTACTCACTTAGTTATCGTCAGTGGATACTTCACTTCTCTCCACTCTACAGCTAAAGATGCTCACAATAAAAGCCAGGATGTACCAAGACTTTCAGAGGTGGGAAGAACCTGGTCCTATCTCAAGCTGAGATGTGCAGCCTGGTTGCATGGCTCTGTTTCTTAAGGCGATAAGATTAGGGATGGTGATTGAAGAAGAGTTGGGATCATCAGTACTGCACAGGTACCAACTACCCCTTCATGCAGGTGGGCTATGAGGAGCCATGGGAACTCTTAACCTGCACAACAGCGAGTGTCTTGGATGCTCTGCTTTGCTTACCCAAAAGAGAAGATCACTCAAAGCTGATCAGAACCCCACAGCATCCCACATGGGGACTTCTTTTGGTCAAAACCAAAATGGCGTTTTTTTCATGGGTGAAGCCTGTTTTACTGGGAAAGTATATCCAAATTGTATGATAATGGCATGTAGTTAATTCACATTGGTTTAGGGAAATGAAACCACATCTATTTTTAGTTTCTCAAACATCCCTGCATTACTGTCCTCTGCTTTAGCTCTCTCCTCATCATGTGTTCTCCTTGCTTTGCTCCTACTGAGCAGTCTGTCTAGCTGGGATCTGTTTGATGTGCTGGCTCTACAGAGTGCACATTTCACAGAATCACAGACTGGTTTGGGTTGGAAAGGACCTTAATGTCATGTAGTTCCAACCCCCCTGCATGGGCAGGGATGCCTCACACTAGACCATGTCACCCAAGGTTCTGTCCAACCTGGCCTTGAACACTGCAAGGATGCAGCATTTACCACTTCTTTGAGCACCCTGTGCCAGCACCTCAACACCCTCACAGTAAAGAACTTCTGCCTTATCTCCAACCTGAACTTCCCCTGTTTCAGTCTGAACCCATCACCCCTTGTCCTGTCACTACAGTACCTGATGAAGAGTCCCTCTTCAGCATCCTTGTAGCTCCCTTCAGACACTGGAAGGCCCCAACTTTCTCAGCCTATCTTCATACAGGAGCTGCTCCAGCCCCTGATCATCCTCGTGGCCTCCTCTGGACTTGTTCCACCAGTTCCATGTCATTTTTATGTTGAGGACACCAGAACCTCACACAGTGCTAGGAGTACTCATTTCCTTTAGTTCTGCCTCTTCTAACAACAAAGCAAAACCCAGAACTGCTCATTACAGAACAGGCATCTCACTAATAATTAATCTGAGAGCAGTCACCACGAGTGGTTGCAATGTGGGTGTTTGTGGCTGCCCAGGGCTGCTGCTTGAATACTTTAGCTGTTCCGTTTTCACTGGAGATACCATACTGAAGGTACTGAGGCCATCAGCAGGCACTGAAGCCCTAAACAGAGAGCAGAAATACAGGTTCCTGTCCTCTTCAGCTACTGAGCAATCCTGTTCTGCAGTCTGACCATGCAGAAGGACAGAAGCTCCTTCTCTACCCTTTGTCTGATGTGCACTGTGTTTTATTTATAGCCTGGGACATTTAAGCAGTGTTAATTTTGCATGCCCTCCTGTTTTCTCTATTAGGTTATGGAAGATCTTTTCAAGACTGTAACAAGCACTGTGCTCTCCAAATGTCCTCGTGATGTTGAGCTATTTCATAAATACATAGCTCCTGGCCAGAAGGTAATAAATGTGACAGGAAAGAGCTGCAATTTATGCATTTTGGGGGCTTTTTACTATAGGGGGCTTAATTTTGTTATTATTTTTATTACTGTGTTGTCCCGTGTTAACAAACTATGAGGAGCTAAGGGTCAGTCTTGAGGCTGAGTGAGTGTTCAGGCCAACAGAGGGAGGACACAGAACTTTCTATAGCTGGTAGCTCATGTGGCAGAACTGTAGCTGTCACATCATCCAACCTCTGGATCATCAGCTGCTGTAACATGGTACCCTTTAAGCGCTGAATTGCTGGGGTTTTGGCCCATATTTAGATGACAATGCAGACTTGCACATTAAAACTTGGAAGGAGGTGCTCTTCTGAGTTTCCTCTGGTTCTTTGAACCCTTAAGAGTAGCTTTACATTTTCATTTTCTCTTGTTTTGACCAAGGGCAGGTTGGAACAAATGCTGAAGAAGAGATTTGTAATGTAAGTACTTGTGTTTCAAAGTGATCTGGATGAGGGCTTTTAGGGGAAGAGTTGCTGTTTTGTGCATGTCCTTTTCCTTTCCCAGCTCAGTGTCTTCTGGGTTAGCGTGATGTCTCCAAAAGAGCATGAATTGCAGTTCCCTTTGTACTGTACTGCATGAGACTGGCATCTGAATCTGCTGGCCTTTGGCTTTGGCTTCCCTGGGCAAGATCTTCTTCCTATATGTATATCTTCCTTCCAGCACGTACCTGCACAGTGGTTCCCTCACTGCCCTGCTTGGGTTTGGCTTTGGTGCTCTGCCTTTCTTCAAGTGGCTCCCTTTTTATGAAGCTATTGTTTGCTGTTGTAACGTCCCAGTTAGTTTTCTATTTCCAGTTGCTTGTGCAGCTCCTTTTCCCAGTTCCCTGTGTGCTAAAGAACTGAAGGGTTTTGATTTCTCTCAAGAATGCCCCCAAGAATACAGCTCCTTCCCTACACTTTCTTGCCTGTCTCTTCAAATAGTGATGCTCTCCATGGCCCAGAGCACTGTAGGGCTGCTCAGCCCAGAGCACTGGTTTTCCCGTTAAGCTACAGCCACACTTGGGCAACACGATGATCATAGATCCACCCTGTGCCTTGTACCTGCATTTAGCACTGTGGGAGACCTCAGTGAAGTCAATGTCTCCCCATCCCAGTCCTTCTCTCTTTGAACCTAAGCTGTATTCCCAAGAGGACAGAGTTACACTCAGCTTCTCCCATGGTCCAAGGGAAAAAAGAGTGACTCAGCCCATCTCTTTCTCCCTCTCTGTTTCCCTCTTCATCATCTACTGGCAGGGGCATTCCTGGCTTATACACATCAGTTACATGCACTGAACCTCTGCCAATGCTATACCTCACCTGGACCATGGCCTCACATAACCCAGACACATGGAGGAATAGATTTCTTCTTCAGGTATTTCCACCAGAAGCCTTCCTGTATTAGTGAAGCCAAGTGTAAGGAGCTTGTGCCCTTTAAGGAATTTGGTTTATAATTGGATTTAGCCAGTGATAGAGAGAGATCAAATCATAGGGATCAGGTTATTCTTTCTTCACTCTGCCCACAGCATTTGCTTGGTACATGGAAAACGTGTCAGCAAAAGTATCTTCTGCTGAGTCTTGATTTCCAGTTTCCAAACCTGCAGCATCTTCCTCTGCACTTTTTCTGTTTGCTCTGCCATGATGCTGTTATTTTGTTTTGATGGGAGCTGATGGAGAATCCGCTCTCAGATGAGTCAGAGGAGAAGAGAAACATTGCTGCAAATCACGGAATCATAGAATAGTTTGGATTGGAAAAGGACCTTTAAAGCCCATCCAGTTCCAACCCCCTGCAATGAGCAGGGACATCTTCAACTAAATCAGGTTGCTCACATCCAGCCTGGCCTTAAACGTCCCCAAGGGTGACACATCCACCACCCCTCTGGGCAAGCTGTGCCAGTGTTTTACCATCCTCATTGTAAAGCACTTTTTCCTCACTTCCAGCCTGAGATAAATGTCAAGATCTTAGCAAAGTGAAGTGAACATGTTTGAGCTCCAAGCCCTTTGCACTCTGGGCTGTTATTTTTGCCTGACACCATCCTGAATAGGAGAGTGGTGTTGTTGGAGCCATACCAATGAGGAAATGTTTTCCACCAGTTTCTAAGAAGCAATTCTCTGCAGAGCTCACTTCTGACTCAAATGCAACATCGCAATAAAGCAAAAGTATCTGGAGAGCTTGGCACTTCCTGCCCTGCATGTAGCACAGGAAAACAGCCTTCTTTGCCATATAAAATGGGGTTTGGTTTCTATCCAGAGAAGCATTGCTGGGAAGTCTGACATCACAGCACAAGTTGGCATGGTGGGGGGGAAATGCCTCCTTCATTTTCCAGCGCGGCTCTTAGCCAGAAAACTTTGTTATTCCTCTCATAGTTATCTTAAAGGCTTTTTCTTCCCTCCTCTGCAGCATTTCCTACAGTGAAGCAGTGGAAATCCTGAAGCAAGCTTCTCAAGCTTTCACTTTCAAGCCAGAGGTAGGTGTTTCCCTGGTGGTTTGTCCCTGTGCCTGCTCACAACTGGCCTGAACTTCACAGATCTCCTTTTATTCTGATACCACAAGAGCTGTTACTTCATACAGTAGCATATCTCCCTCCAAGGGGTGTTTGAACACTTGCAACCCAGGTATCACTTTTGCCCTTTGGGGTTGCAGTGGGAGCAATATAAGGAGTGAGATCTGTAGCAGGAGAACATGTAATGTGCAGGGAAGGAAGTGATGAGTTTGCTGTTCAAGGACCAAGACTTTAGCAAAGGCGCTTCATGTTCTTGTATGTGAGTAGTGCTGAGTGTGTTGTGGATCCAGCAGCAGTCATCTAAGGAGAGATGCTGCAACAGTCGTCAAATAAAGGAATAACAGGAGAGCACCACAAGTTTGACAAGGACTAATAAGCCAAAAACATGTCAAAATAGCATGTAATCAAGATGTAAGTAAAGGGAATCCATTGACTTTCCAAAACATGGATGTTGAGTGGGACGAAGAATCATATGCTACTGTTTTTAATGCTCTTAGGTTATGATATTATGTCCCATCCCTGGCAGTGTTCAAAGCCAGGTTGGACAGAGCTTGGAGCAAGCTGCTCTAGTGGAAGGTGTCCCTGCCCATGGCAGGGGGTTGGAACTGGAGGAACTTTAAGGCCCTTTCCAACACAAACCAGTCTGTTATTCTTTGGTTTTCTAAAACTCATGTTTTACCCAGTTTCACACACACAGAGCAGTTGGGAGAGCATGCATCTCATGTATACTGATTTATCTTCATCTCAGTCTGATGCTTTGAGGAAGGTAACCCTCTGGGCTGAAGCCACCTTCATAGCCAGTGCGTAACTGTCTCATCTCTGTGTACCAGTGGGTGTAGAACCTCAGATCCTCTGTCTGTACTGCCTTGGTCTGAGACAGCAAACATAGTTCAGATAAGGAGTCTGCAGAATGTCTGTTCCCCTCTTCACTCCCCTGGTATTCTGTGCACATCCTATAATGGTCTCTAGTCAAAAGCCACAGAATTTATAACATCACTGGAAGAAAGGAGATGTGAAGGGCATTGCAAATGTCCGTGGTTTCTGATAACAGAGAATGGGTTAATGGGATGCTGGGTTTTCTTAAGTGAGAATTAATGTAGCATGTAACAGGACCCAGCGGGGAAGAGAGCGGTCAGCCTAGCAAAGCTGCTTCCTATATACCAAAGGTAATATAAAAATAAGGCTGTGTTGCTGGCTTGAGCAAGCTGACTTTGGATAGGTGCCTGTTTCCTCTGAGGTGTGTGGAGTGTGGTTTTGGGGTTTATTTTCTGTTTGGTTGGGGTTTGTTCTGGTTTGATATTAAATGCTTGGGCTTGATGCAGAGATGATCTGTCCCTGTTCTGTGGAAGTCAGACCACGTTCTTTTCATTGCTTTACTCTGCCTTGTTTACTCTGCTTAACAGATGGCCTGTGTGAGAAGTTGCTGTGCTTTGTTTCATGTTATTCAGAGCTGCACATCTCTCCTACACAGGGATTTTGCTGGGTCTCTTTGCCACAGGCAAGATGCACCAGAGCAGGATCCCAATCCCTTTTGCTGTCTTTACAGTGGGGCTGTGACCTCCAGACGGAGCACGAAAAGTACCTGGTGAAGCACTGTGGTGAGGTTCCAGTGTTTGTGATTAACTACCCATATGACCTCAAACCTTTCTACATGCGGGACAATGAAGATGGACCTCAGCACACAGTGAGTCTGTGGGTCACACTTCCAACACTTCTTTGGCTAGGCATGTGTCTTAGCCTATAGATAGGTAGATACATGCATGCATACACGTATAGATAAGGATAGTCTTCTGTTTCTCCACTCAAGAATATAAGATATGACCATTAGGTGATCCTCTCCAATCTTTTTCCTGTTGTAGAATAAATCCTCAAAGCAGGAACAACAGGATGGGGAAGATTCAGGAGCTGGATAGTGTTCAGTTTTTGTTTAAGTCCCTTAAGAGAAGTTTGTCATAGTTTATTTTCCTGGTAAACTTATGCACTACTGGGTGAAATGCCTACAATTGCAGGGCTGCAAGTAGTCCATGATTCTCTTATCATCCAAATGTGGCATCCACGTAATCCTCAAACAGCAGATGGGCACAAGAAGTAAGCTCTTTTTTCACACGTCTCCTGCTTTGAAGGTGTGATTCGCAATTGAACAGAGACAACTGGAAGCATTGCTTCTGCTGAAAGGAGCAACTACCCCACCTTGTACCGCTGCGGTACTTCAGTGGCTTTAATTCTAGCAATGGTTCAACTATGGGGTAAGTAAAGTGTCTCTAGAATACAGAGGAAACTGCCATCCCAAACCTAACAGCAGAAGTGGTAACCCTAGGATCATTTATCCATTGGTATCATTACTGTTAGTGCTGGTAGAAGAAGTGAGGGCAGCTGTGGATAAGCACAAGTTGCAGCATCAGAGCAGCTTAAAGTCTAAGGGAAGCTGCCAGTGTGTCTTTGCTTCCTTCTGAGTTGCTATTGGGTTCTTTAAACCCTGCACAGGCTTGCCTATGTACATAGGTTGTCACCAGAGTGACATGATGGGATTCAGTTCATACCACCTGCTATAGATGTCCTCAGTCTGGAACATCACTGCACTCATTTAGGTTTTCTGCAGACTTCCTGATGGTTATCACTGTAAAGTTCCCTCCCAGCCTTCTCCAGTCAACAAGAGACTTTTCAAGCACGTGCAAGTACTTTACCTAATTCCAAACAACCATCAGTGTCAGCTGTACTTGTGCCAGAGACGTATGGCTGCATGGTGTGGCTTAAATCAGTTTTCTTTCTTTCAAGGTTGCAGCAGTTGATCTCCTGGTGCCAGGAGTAGGGGAGTTGTGTGGAGGCAGCTTGAGAGAGGAGCGACTGCCCTTGCTGGAGTCACGCTTACAGAGGTATGGAAAACACACAGATGCCAGGAGATGGCCTGATGAAGAGTGTTTCAGCAGCCCTCAGTGGTTGGTAGGACAGGGCAGAAGGGCAGCTGATGGTATTTAAAGGCAGCCTGGTTTTGTCTTTGAGATACCTATTTAACTGAGTAGGTGATCACAAGCTGATGAAGTTCTTGTGCTTCTGCTGTAGGTATGCAAACTGCCTCTCTGTTTTAGCTCATCAGAGAACAAGTCTGGTTTATGCTAAGGCAGCAGAATGCCTCAGATCTGCTGGGACTATCAGGATCAGGGTCTGATGCGAGACATTTCATCCTTTCGCCTTTCCTTCACAGCTTTTGAGGCTGAGATTGGGTTGCAAAGGTGGAAGTTGTCACGTAGGCAGAGCTTGGATATATTTGTCATCACACTGTGTAACCAAGAAACTGCAATTTTGGTCAGAAGCTTCTCTCACTGTGATGCAGCTGGCCCCAGTAGCATCATTTCAGAGAATATGGTTCTTTACTAATAGCTTTGTGGGAAGCCTGGGACTTGTACTGTGTCATACAGCTCCTTCCCTGTTGCTTTATTCTGGATGATGTGACTTTAAGTAATTTGGGGCTAAATTCAGTGTCAGAATATCAAAACTGATGTTTAGTTAACAACAGTTGACATAATAGATGGAATAATTCCCCATAGACAATTACTCCCATAGACAGTCATGATTTTGGGTGACATGGTTTAGTGTGAGGTGTCCCTGCCTGTGGCACAGGGGTTGGAACTGGAGGATCTTAAGGTCCTTTCCAACCCTGACTGTTCTATGATTCTCTGATTGTTCAAAAGAACCATTCATAGGATCATAGAATGATTTGTGTTGGAAGGGACCTTAAAGCTCATCTAGTTTCAGCCCCCTGCCATGGACAAGGGACATCTTCCACTAGAGCAGGTTGCTCCAAGCCCCTGTGTCCAGCCTGGCCTTGAGCACTTCCATTTGGACCAGTCATACATTTGCACAAAGCAGTTCTGGGAGGAGGATTAATCCCAGAGTCACACCATTTACACACTGGGAATGGATTTATAGAATCATAGAATAGTTAGGGTTGGAAGAGACCTTAAGATCATCCAGTTCCAATCCCCCTGCCATGGGCATGGACACCACACACTGAACCACCTCACCCAGGGCTTTGTCCAACTTGGCCTTGAGCACTGCCAGAGATGAAGCATTCACAGCCTCCCTGGGCAACCCATTCCAGTGCCTCACCACCCTTACAGTAAAGAACTTCTTCCTTATATCCAATCTAAACTTCCCCTTTTTCAGTTTTAACCCATTACCCCTTGTGCTATCACTACAGTCCCTAATGAAGAGTCCCTCCCCAGCATCCCTATAGGCCCCCTAAATTTGTTGCTTAACTCAGCCACGTGCTCACAAAGAGAGATCTAGTTAATGGAGAAGAGCAAAATCCATTTCAGCGTGATGAATCCAAAAGGCGCAGGGCCATTAAAATCACCAGAACATTGGCTCTCAATTTGTAGTATAGGTTATTATTCCCTGTGTTTCCTGCTGTTCTCCTTGCAAACTCTGCCAAAGCAGGTATGCTTCAGCTGAAGCAAAGTATGGTGTTGCCTGCTGCACACATCTTCACTTGCAGTGTTTGCCAGTGAGATTTGGAATTTACAGCCCTTGAGGTGTGGGGCTGGAGGAAGGGTCTATGTGGAAGTTGAAGCCAAGCTTCCTTGTTTGTCAGGGAAGCCATAGGAAGTATTTCAAGCTGCACATAGAATCACAGAATGGTTTGGGTTGGAAAGGACCTTAAGATCATTCAGTTCCAGCCCCCTGCCATGGGCAGGGACACCTCACACTTGGTGTGTCTTGAGTGACCTTAAAGTACAGCTCTGCATTGAGGATGACCTGGAAAAGTAACACCTCTTTTCACACGTTGTTCCCAGTTTCGAGTACTCAGGATCTGATCTGCTGAGCCCAAGTAATTTGTTAAAGCTTTTAAATTCTGCTTCCTGCAGATCCAGCATAACTGAGAGAAATAAAGAACAGGAGGATTCTTGTCTCCTTAGTGCACGCTTCGTACAATAGCTCTCCAAGTCACAGTCAGAGACAGCTGCAGTGCACTGGAGATGAGAGCATTGGTCTCTGCTCTCAGGGTTTTCTGTTCATGTTCAGAGAAATAGGAAAAAACCCAACTTTGCTCTGGTTCTGCCAAGGCAGCAAAAGGAGAGAGGGTTCACCGGTGGCAACTGGAGAAAAGCCTATTTTATTTAGTAGCTTTACAGAAGTTACACACATGAATAAAGCTACAGAAGTTCAGTGAGGTCATGCACTATGGAAGGGGAGCCACATAGCCACACGTGTGGGGGGGCTTTGACTCACTCCCAAATGAGGTTTTATTGGCTGCATGTCTTTGTATATTTAATATTCAGGCCTTTATTCTCCAAACATTCACAAGCAGAGTTTACTGATATGGTTGAAGTTAAGAGCATGCACAAGTCTTTGCATGAAGCTGGGATCAACCCTGTATGTTGACAAAACAAACTTCATGTTTTAAGCAGCATGTTGGGAACCTGTTCAAGACTGTCTGGTAATTACCAGAACTGACAGCCACTGAGCATGTCTTCCCTTCATCTCCTGCCTTTCCTTTTGGGACTGAGTTTAATCATCAGAGCCTCCCTTTCCTTGTAGCATTCTCTTCCAGGCAAGTGCTGCTTGTGCAGATCTCCACTGTTCCTTAACTTACAAAGGGTTTTCTTTTTGTTCCACAGATTAGGACTCGCAGATACCTACCAATGGTAAGACACTGTCTTGATCTTCAAGCTCTATTTCTTATTTTGAGACTCTTTAAACAACTGTGTTGATCCTGTTCTTGAGGGGACGTTTTTTGGCCCGGTTGCCATCGCTGCCAGTCTGAGTGGAACAGCTGGTTCCTTTAAACAGCATTTAATCTAATGCTGTTTAGTTTGTCTCCTGATCTGTCCACTCACAGCACAGGTCATTCCTTTCAGTATTGCATGAAGTGGATTAATTTGCAACCCATAATGATTTTTGATATTAAATCATTAGGCTGTGTTCAGAGTTGAATAGATTCTGACCGCCCTTGCATGAGATAAACAGGTTAAGAGAACCACAAGCACTCTGTGACCTTTAGCAGCTCTGTGAATAACTCCCTTTGCAATTGGCAGGGCAATTGAGTCGAAAAACTCTTCCCTAACAAAGCAATTGAAGCAATTAAAACTGTCCAGCAAAGGAGACAAATCAACCTTTGAATTAACAATTTAGCCTGTTAAAATGACAGAAGGATCCTGATGTTCCCCTTGACAAGTGTTTATTGGGATGTACTTTGTAATATCTACTATGGAGAAGTTTGGATTTAAGAGAGTATATTCAACTAGTCTGCAGTATTTGGATTGCTCATTAGGGAAGCTGCCTTGAAAGAAAGCAGAGTGAAGTGTAAGATGCTTCACTCTCCTATTTCCACAACATGGAATCACTTGGGAGCAGCCCAGTGCATGGCAGACCTTTATGTCATCCGTTTGCAAACAGCACGGATTAAATATCTCCCTTTATTGTTGGCATTTATGGGCTAGAATTTAACATATCACTTCATCTGAGGGAAGGCTTATCCTGAACTGGGATGATCAGTTGTGTGATTAGATGCTGCGATACAGCCTTAGGAAGTCTGGTGTTCAGTGGAAGAGCCTTCCAGCATGACTAGGGTAGCACAGCTCTGCCTCATGCTTCCTGTGAAAGAGAAAGATTACAACATTGCCCACCACCCCTTTGCATCATATTCTGGAAACTCTTACCTCCTGTTGTCTTGTTTTGGAGACCCTTTCCTCCTCTGTTCCCTCCACTCCATCACAGAGGATGCACGTTACCAGAGAAGATTAATACTGTTGTTACTCCTTGACATAGCAGGGTCTAGTGTGCTAGGGAGGTGCGAGGTAGGACTAACCCTGAATGCTTCTGGACTACAGTCCACACTCTGCCAGAAAACAGGGAGATGGTTTGCCAGCATCCGTCTTTTCAGTGGAGGTGGCAGGAGAGACTGAGATTAATCTCCTCCAATTTAGTGATTGAATTTTGTCTCCAAAGCTCGCTCTCAAACTCCTTGAAGAACAGTTGAGTCATTCCCTTTTCGGTATAATACTTGCTGACTAATAGTGATCTGCTGTATGAGATGTTATCCCGTTTGATATCCCTTACATATTGCCATATCTCTGTTTCTGCCTGTTTTCTTCTTCCATTAAGCATGAGGATATTGTGGAGGCTGACTTCTAGGGTGGCTTCAGGAGTGTTGTTTGTGCAAGAATCAGTGGGCAAAGAGGCAACTGATGATGTGAAATGCTGTTGTGCTTCTGCCCATCCTTACCTTTTAGAAAGCTTTTCAGAAGAAGCAGATAAAGGGGCATGGTCAAACTCCTCTGAATCTTCTTCAGTTCACTGCCTTGTAAACAGGGGACCTGATCCGGTTTGCAGGCTCCTGGTGCCAGCTTATCACGAGCAATAACGGAGCAGGTACTCTGTAATGAACAGCATTACTAGCATCAGCTTGAGCAGCATTTCAGACAGTCTTTCTACATGCAAGGCACCCATTTCCTCACTCTGGTTATCATCATGCACATCAGTGAAGAAGATGGCCTCATGCTGAACCCTTTACAGCCCAGGTACCTTATATTCTGGTGTAACACTGATAAAGGTACACAGTGGCAGAGCAGGTGTTATCTGCTCTCTTACAGTTTATATTACTGTGTTGTCCTGGCCTTGCTCCTGCTGTAGATGGAGAAGATTGAGATGTGTTCGGCTCTTTAATTCCTAGTTTTCCTTAAAGCCAGAGTGTTCTGTTGCGTCTTTGTGTGGCAGGGTACAAAGAAGGAGTTGGACTTCAGGAGCAGCATCACTGGTGAGCCACTTGCAATCCATGGCCAGTGACAGCATTCATGTCATAGAATCCCAGACTGGTTTGGGTTGAAGGGACCTTAAAGCTCATCCAGTTCCAACCCCTGCCACGGGCAGGGACCCCTTCCACTAGAGCAGCTTGCTCCAAGCCCCTGTGTCCAACCTGGCCTTGAGCACTGCCAGGGATGGGGCAGCCACAGCTTCTCTGGGCACCCTGTGCCAGCGCCTCAGCACCCTCACAGGGGAGAGCTTCTGCCTAAGAGCTCATCTCTATCTACCTTTAACCTCCTCCAGAGCCCAGTGAAGATGAGTAGCCTGTCACTGTCCTTGACAGCTTCCTGGTCCTATTACTCCTTCTCTGGGGAAAAAACAGAGCACTGTGCTGGGCCATACAGATGCAGGCACAAAATCAGTACTAAATCCAGCCAAACCTTGCCCAGACCCTCTCATGCCGATGGGAGTGTTTTAGATTGAATGCTTTCTTTGCGGATCCCCCAGAAGTGATAGCAGAGCCTGAAACCAAAGCCAACCTTTAACCCAGCATCAGAACCCGGTGATGTTTGTCCTGAAACACTCAACAAAATGATCCTGCAAATGGCATTTCAGAGTAGTTTTTCATTAGCCTTTCATTAGCCATTATTTTCCAGTAGAATATAAAACTTCATGCACCACAATATCTTTATTCTTTCAGCTTTCCTTTTTCCCACCCAGCTGCAGAGGCTTCAGTAGAACGAAGGGGTTACACAAAAGATGAAGATTGTATTTGTTTTGAAAGGAGACCGAAGAGAATACACTCTGCTCATGAATGGTCACTAAGAGAGCGTTGATGTTCACACTGCTTTGCCGTGCAGCACAGGAGCTGGCGATGATGATAAAAGGGTATAGGTTTTTAAAAGGATGAAAGGAAATGCTCTTCTAACTTGGCACATAACAAGCTCCTGGAATTCATTGCTGGGGGATGTTGTTGCAGCACATACTTCAGTAAGATTCAAATCTCTGAAGACCTCCAGGTCCAAAATATGAATTCTGGGGCTAGCTGGGGTCACAGAAACTTATTTCCCCATGGAAATATGCTGCAGAGTCCCCCAGTTGCCAAGGGAGGGCTCAGCTCTCCTCTTTAAGTATGAGCTACTAGGAGGAATAGCGAGACCAGTTCATGACTGTGTTTGAGGTGAGAAACATCCAATGTCTGGAGACTACTGAATGAAGGAAAACCTCAGGGAGCATTTTCCATCCTAAAGGGAATTTTCTCATCATCTGCAGGCAGTTACTTTTTCTTTCATCTGGGAAGAATGGAAAATTTCTCAATTCTTTTGCTTCTTCTAAACACAGTCATCAGAAAGGATTCGCAGGCTTGATCCTCAGCATGTTTAATTCAGTGAACTTTTCCCATTAGCTTTAATGGGTTTTGTTTCGCTCCTTTTGCCAGGATAGCTTCTCCGAGTGCTTTGAGATCTACAGATGAAAGCCCTGGATAAGAAAGGGTAGAATTTATTATTATTGTTCATCTGGAAGAAGCTGAGTTATTTCATCTCCTTAGAATGACCGCATAAACTCTGTTGCCAGCAAAAGGGAAAGATGCTGGGCTTAGTCTCAACTGTCTTTGCAAAGGATGAGATATGCTTACAAACTTCATCAGAAATGGTTGTGCTGTTATTTGTGTGACTGGTTTCAGCCAGAGCTGTCACCAGTTCTGCTCAGAACTACTGGGCTGGTACAGATTGATCTGTCAGGGCCAGCACCCACATCCCTCACATTTACAAGGCCTTTCCTGTTTCACAAGTCACCACCACCCTCAGCATCAGATCTGCCCATCATCTTCCTTGTCAAGGCTTGAGAAGCTGCTGAGTGGAGCTCCCCAGGGGCAGTTCCAGTGTATTAGTGGAAAATCAAATACTTCTTATGAATCTCTCACTTTTAAGCCTGCTGCTTAACTTAAAGTATAGGCATAACTGCACTTTATAGAACCATAGAATAGTTAGGGTTGGAAAGGACCCTTAAGCTCATCCAGTTCCAACCCTCTGCCATGGGCAGGGACACCTCACAGTAAACCATGGCACCCAAGGCTCTGTCCAACCTGGCCTTGAGCACTGCCAGGGATGGAGCATTCACCACTTCTTTGGGCAGCCTTTTCCAGTGCCTCACCACCCTCAAAGTAAAGAACTTCTTCCTTAAATCTGACCTGAGCTTCCCCTGTTTAAGGCCAGAGTCTAAGTCTGTGTGTCAGTGCTAGTAGGAAGAATTAAGAAGTTCTATTTTACAAAGTTTGCTTCTGGTTTTACTACTTGGGCAGTAGAGGGGAAAACCACTGTGGGAAAAAGCACCTGAAGGCTGGATTGAGTATAACAAATATAGCTTCCCAGATGTTTAACTGCTGCTAATGAGCTGCAAGGGAAAACAGTATTTCATGGTAAAGTCCCTTCCAACCCAAACCATGCTATGGTTCTATATGGTATAAAAGGCACAGTCTCAAACTGAGCTTGGCAGGGTGAACTCTTGCAGATGTAGAATTTATTGGAGAGTGTTTTATTTTACAAGTAGAGTCGATCAGTGGCATTACTTCATAGAATCCTAGAATGGTTTGGGTTGGAAAGGTCCTTAAAGCTCATCCAGCTCCAACCCCTGCCACGGGCAGGGACCCCTTCCACTAGAGCAGCTTGCTCCAAGCCCCTGTGTCCAACCTGGCCTTGAACACTGCCAGGGATGGGGCAGCCACAGCTTCTCTGGGCATCCTGTGCCAGCGCCTCAGCACCCTCACAGGGAAGAACTTCCTCCTTCTATCCAGCCTGAACTCCCCCTGTTTCAGTTTTTACCCATCACCTCTTGTCCTGTCACTCCAGTCCCTGATGAAGAGTCCCTCCCCAGCATCCCCATTCCCCCCTTCAGACACTGGAAGCTGCTCTGAGGTCTCCACACATCCTCTCTTCTTCAGGCTGAGCAGCCCCAACTTTCTCAGCCTGTCTTCATTCTTCCACCTTACTCTTAAAATGTAGTCTTCAAGCCAACAAAATTCTGACATCCAAGCAAGCATGCTTAAATAGATGTATATTTAAGCCATACAATAATGTATGTTTTACATATTAATATATATATACACACACAAATATACCTTTTTTCCTCACAGCTCATTAACAGTGGTTAAAACCTGGGAAGCCATTTACCTGCAATCAATCCAATCTTCAATTTCTCCACAGTGTTTTTCCCCCCTCTACTCCACTGCCTAAGTAGTAAAACATACATTTGCATTTATATTTCAGTATACTTGATTTCTCTTTCTTTAAACTGGGACGATTAAATACACACAAAGGTTAGAAGCATGTAATGCATCTGGAGTCACTCAATCCCTTTTATAGGGCATTCATGTAAAGAATAACTTTGTGGCCACAGCAAGCTCAGAAGTGGCCCCATAAATCAACAGAACCATTGAGATGTTTTTCACTCCTATTAAAATAAAACTGCTGGTGACAATTTATAGCTGCAAATATAGTTCACAGCAGCCACAGTCCAGCTGGGAAATGAGGAACTCTAAAGAATTATAGAATCATAGAATGGGTTGGGTTGGAAGGGACCTTAAAGCTCATCCAGTTCCAACCCCTGCCACGGGCAGGGACATCTTCCACTGGAGCAGCTTGCTCCAAGCCCCTGTGTCCAACCTGGCCTTGAACACTGCCAGGGATGGGGCAGCCACAGCTTCTCTGGGCACCCTGTGCCAGCGCCCCAGCACCTTCACAGTGAAGAACTTCTTCCTTATATCCAATCTAAACTTCCCCTGTTTCAGTTTTAACCCATTACCCCTTGTCCTATCACTACAGTCCCTGATGAAGAGTCCCTCTCCAGCATCCTTGTAGCCTCTTTCAGACACTGGAAGCTGCTCTGAGGTCTCTACGCAGCTTCTCTTCTCCAGAGAAGAACTATCGTATTCTTGCTGACACCCATATAGTTGGAGTATCTGTTTCCAAATGTTTTCTGAGTTTCCTGTGCTGTTCAGATGCTGTTCTCCAATATGAAATGTCTTGTTCCAGGTCTTATTTTGCGGAGAAGATATGTCCAAGATTTTTTGCTGACTTAATGTGGAAATAAATGACTCAATCCTTAAGAATGATTAGGGAAAAAGCAACAAAACCCCATTGTAATTACCTTAAGAGACAAAAGGGAATCTGAAGGGGGGACAGCAAGACCAGTTTAGGCTTCTGAGAAATTACTGGAAATGACTTTGCGTATTAAAAAGAAGACAGAAAACGACTAGCATAGGCAGATTTCCACACCATCATGGCAAGGGCTAAACAGACCCAAGCAGGCAATTCCCATCTCCAGCAATGGAAATGTTTTGTGATCCTACAGGAACTGGGGTTTGTGCCTCTGCTGGGAGTATTTTAGATACTAAAACTTAGCAAGATGCTTTCAAATGTGTGCAGAGCTGTTCTTTGTACCCAAATCATAGAGTCATAGAATGGTTTGGGTTGGAAAGGACCTTAAGATCACCCAGTTCCAACCCCCTGCCATGGAAGGGACACCTCACACTAAACCATGGCACCCAAGGCTTCTTCCAGCCTGGCCTTGAACACCACCAGGGATGGAGCATTCACAAATGAGTTCTTGCTCCTAACCAAGACAGGCTGTAGTGTATTAGCAAAGCATAGCTATGCTGCTTTAACTGTGTTTGTGCTTGAGGTTTCTGCTAACACAGTTGTGCCTGCCAGGGAGCTGCACCTCTTCCCATCCCTGACCACCACTGCCTGTGCTGGCAGAAATCCACAGTGATCAGAGGGAAGTGATGAGGATGGAAAGCAAAACCCACAATAAAAAGCTCACTCTAATCACACAGAATCACAGAATGGTTGGTGTTGGAAAGACCTTAAAATCATACAGTTCCAACCGCCTGCCATGGGCAGGGACGCCTCACACTAAACCATGGCACCCAAGGCTCTGTCCAACCTGGCCTTGAACACTGCCAGGGATGGAGCATTCACAACTTCCCTGGGCAACCCATTCCAGTGCCTCACCACCCTTACAGTAAAGAACCTCTTTGTTATAGCCAATCAAAATCTCCTGTTTCAGTTTGAACCCATCACCCCTTGTCCTATCACTCCAGCCCCTGATGAAGAGCCCCTCTCCAGCAGGCTGCAAATGTAACTGTGTGTTTAAATTACAGGTACCTAGACCTCCGCAAGTTCGGCTCCGTTCCTCACGGAGGCTTCGGCATGGGCTTTGAACGCTACCTGCAGTACATCCTGGGAGTTGACAATATCAAAGATGTCATTCCTTTCCCCAGGTTTTCTCACTCCTGTCTCCTGTAGCACTTAACTCACGTGGAGAGAACTGCTGGTGTGCTAAATGGGTATAACATACCAGGGTATGACAAAGTGTGGGTTAGTGGGAAATCAAGGTCATTTTTATATCAGTGCAACTCTTGGTCCATGTAATAATGGCTTATTGAAAAGAGTAGGTGTTCTGATAAGATTATGGAAGCACATTTGATAGCGGTTTGTGTCCTCAGTGTGCTTCAGGAGTATTAATAAATCCCATTTAACTAAAGGGTTAAGATACTCATGAGACTGGTAAAGGCTATGGGAGTACCGGATAAGCATTGTTGGGAGTAGGGGGGGTTTTATGTGAAATAGTAATAAGGAGGTGTGACCTAAAATGGACTGGGAGCCAGGAATGCTGTGAGGCTGTAATAGGCATTCATTAAATGCCTGAAGAGTGCTTTGAAGATTGAGTGCTATAAAATTGGGAAGTATTGTCATGGCTATGATGCACTTGCTCTTGCGAAATGGCTACTGTAAAGCATGCATGTCCCCACCCCGAGTTGAAAGCAGATATTGTTTACCTTGGAAAAATCAGCCAAATCTAGCAAGGAAAAACACCACATTGGAACCACTGGAGTGAATGAGGTGAATGGTGTTTGAGTCTGTGAATCATCAATAAAGATACATGCTGGGTTGTTTTGTAACTCTGCATGGTTTCTTCTGTTTTAAAACCGTAGCACTTGGCATTATAGCATTCTCTCCATTGTCTTGGGTAGATGTTTCCTTTCTGTATACCCAGAGTAGTTACCCAGCTTCTGCAGGAGGTACCTGTTTTCTGTCCCTGAGACAGCACATGTCCGTGGCACAAAGAAATACTCAGTTATATGAGAGTTCATTCATCTCTCCAGAGCCAGTTTGCAATTTATTGGTGTTTTTCTTGTTGCTCTGGTTTTTTATTGTGGTTATTGAGAAAACCTCTTGTGTGCTCATCAGACCAAGAAGTTCTGTCTGTATTTTGAAACAACCAACATATGCTCCCCAAGCATTGCATATGTATTAAGTAATTGCTTATCACCCTAGGATCTGAACTCCTTGCTGTCTGTAATGGCTTTATTCTCTCAGCTTCCCTGCCAGGTAAAGAAATACTCATTTCTGTTTTGAAGACAGGATTATGGGAACATCAAGTGACTTGCCGAAGGCAATTGGAAACCACTGGTTTATTTGGGACTTAAACTGATGGTTTCCAGCATCCTTATTCCCTTCCAAATCATCACAACCCAACACATGGACATTTGCATAGTGCTTACTGCTCTGGAGCCCAAGCCTGCTGCAGTATAAACAATATATAGAAAGAAAAAGCAAGGTGACAGCTTCGTTGCTAATGAACGTTAGCGATGTGCTGTGCAAATTGGCACATACAACGTGAAGTGGCTGCAGAACAGCCTTGAAGACTTCTTTTCCAAGTAGATGAAAGAGATTGAAAAGGGGTAATCAACAAGCATTGCGCTGGTGATGCTGCAGTCACAGTCTCTCGGGTAGGGCTGGATAATATTGCACCTGCAGTGCCTAAAAATACATATTTATGTCATGTGGCACCTGCCACGTTTCAGCTTGGTCCATGGCTGGGGCTTTTGAGTGTTGTGATCATGCAGACAACATCACCACAAGGTCATTACTGTGGGGTCATTGCATGCTGTGGGGTACCGCCTGCATATCGAGATTGGGTTTGTATGTCCTCTGTCTGCATGATCAGGCAGGTGTTAACTGTGCATGTGCTGGCTTGTGTTGCCTGGTACAGTTCATAGAATCATAGACTGGTTTGGGTTGGAAGGGTCCTTAAAGCTCATCCAGCTCCAACCCCTGCCACAGGCAGGAACACCTTCCACTAGAGCAGCTTGCTCCAAGCCCCTGTGTCCAACCTGGCCTTGAGCACTGCCAGGGATGGGGCAGCCACAGCTTCTCTGGGCACCCTGTGCCAGTGCCTCAGCACCCTCACAGGGAAGAGCTTCTGCCTAAGAGCTCAGCTCAGTCTCCCCTCAGGCAGGTTCAAGCCATTCCCCTTGGCCTGTCCCTACAGGCCCTTGTCCCAAGCCCCTCTCCAGCTTTTCTGCAGCCCCTTTAGGCACTGGAGCTGCTCTAAGGTCTCTCCTTCAGGAGCCTTCTCTTCTCCAGGCTGAACTCCAGGCTGAGTTGGTAAGTCTGGTTCCACAAAACAATTCTAGCACCTGCCTTCCCTTTGCAACCATTGAGTTCCTGCATCAGGCACCCAAGTGTCTTCCTGCATTTGGACCATCTCTCCCTTTAATTCATCGTCTTAAATGTTATTGCCTTTATGTTTTGGAATTACTTCTCTCAGCAGAAAGATGTGGAAGGGGTACAGTTGCCAAACAGCCCCATCCACACTGTGTGTGATGAGCCAGTGTCCTCATTGAGATCCTTAGTCACTGCTTCTGCCACAGTTGCTGTAAATGAGAGTGCTTGAACTGGAAGCCCATCTGCTGAAAACAGAGTGGATGGATGGCAGACCCATCCCTGCTCACTCTGCTCTCATCCCCACTGCAGCTCTGGGCTGGCTGTGCTGGGTTTGGCATCAGCAGGAGGCTGTTGATCATGCTGTCAGATGCCAGATCTGATGGGCAGGGTGGGGCTAACCAAGGACAAGTGAAAAACAAGGTGTAGAGAAGAAGACAATGGAAGGTGCCAAAACATCTTAGGACGATGTGTCATGAGTCACAAGTCACAGGGAAGGATGGCAGGGCTCTTTCAAACAGTGGTTGTTAGGGCCCGATAGGAGGTGACAGCTTGCGAGAACCAAGAACTGCTATAATCCACCCTTCATTCTTTCCCTTGATAAGAGGTCACTGCAGGACAGAAGGAGTGGGTTGAACCTTTGATTTCTAGGTGGTAGGTTTATGAAAGTATATGGTAAGAAAAAATGGAGCAAGGATGCACTGTGAGTGGTTCTTCATGTGTTTCCGACTAGGTGTCCGAGAGGAGCAGTCTCCCTCATCTTCTACATGTATTTGTTTCATTCAAAGGTATTTGGTGAGTTGGAGATCCGACAGACAGGGTTGAGCTAAGGGGACATTATCCTTGGCTCTAAAAGCTCACCCAAAAAAAACTACCCTTAATAATACAGCAAAATAAGCAGGAGGAGAGCAGGGTTGTCCCCCATAACCAAAAGAACATTCAGGCTCTGAAGGGAGAAGAAAGGGTTGTCCAGTCTTGAAAACAGCCTTAAACATGCATTGTTTTTCCTAGTGATGGGAGAGGCCGAGGCCCATGTGTGTGATGATATTGCTGAGGGTTAATACTGAGACTGGTGCTCTTGTGAGAAGCCTGATTTATGGGTACTGAGCAAGAGTGGGAGCTGCTCTCTCCCTCCAGGCTGGCATTGTTCGCCTCGTGCTATGTATATACAAGATGGGCTGGCATTGCCAAGGAACGCGACGTGTTTTCCCTGGGATTTCCATGTGGAATGTCATGTATTTCCTTCGGATCTCCTCTCCCGGAATGGAGCGGAAGTGAATCTGGAGGGAGAGGGGAGGTCACTGCTCTGGGACATGTAGGCAGGGAAACACACTGCGAATCACTTAGGCTGAAGCAGGTTTCTGTGCTACCTCTTCTCTTAGAGCCTGCACTGTGGGAAAGGCTGAAGCCAGGTAAAAACTGACACTTCTTCAAATAAAAAGCCATTATTTGCACACAGGAATCCTCTCTTAGCCCAAACATGCAGTGCAGTGCCTTACACTGGGGTGTTCTCAGTGCGGTACACAGTCAGCTCTCCAGCCCAGGTAACCAGCACGGTCTCTTCTAGCATCCCTTTGGTGAGTATCTCTTCAAGTTTCAGTTCCTCAAAGCCTCTTTGCAGGTTTATCCTCAGTGTGAGCATCAGAGGAAAGAATCAGCATCACTGATTATCGCATCTGTGGCTTTGCAACATTAGGACAGAGGGATGGGAGAGCAACACCGCTGGGAACAAAAGAGCAATCCCATCAACTTTGCATAACCAAATGCCAGCCTCTCAGGAGAGTGTTTAGAGGGAAAACCTTTGTTTTCACTTCAAGAATATCAGATAATCCCTTCACTTAATATCCTTACGCTCAGGATCAAAGTATCCCAAAGTCCTCTGGTTTTAATTAAAAGAGTAATACCTGCAGATCTAACACTATGTCTCGGTCTTCCCGTTTCTAAATCCACAGGAGAGCAAACGCGTGCTCTGAAGCTAATAACAGAGATTGCTGTTCTCTCCCTTATGATTTACGTTGCAGTGTTTAGGTCTTGGGCTGTTGCACCAGCTTCTGTACGAGCACAGACAAAAAGATGCATCTCTTGGCCAAATGTTAAGAAGCCCACAGAGCAACGCAGGGATTTTAGCTGGATTACCTGCCTTTGGGCCCCAGAGCTGAGGGGAAAGCAGCAAGGTGCCCAGCTCAGCACTCCTCCCTCCAGTGTCTTTGGTAGGAGTTGTGATTTCTAAAGCATCCCTTGTTTGAGGGAATGCCAAGGCACTGATGGGAAAGGTACAGTTTTGCTTGCCGGACTCATATTGATTGTTTTGGAAGTAGTTTATAGATGTGTTTTGATCCGGGGGGGGGGGGAGAGAGAAGGCATTAATTTGCCAAGAAACACTTTGGTCATTGTTTCCATTAAATGTGTGTATAGAGATAAACGTGGCTTTGCTGCTGCTGAGCCCAATAGCAGCCATTCTTGCTGTTGTTTTCACCTCTGCCTTGTGCTTAGGGGGAATCCGGAGATGGGTCCAAAAGGAGAAATAAGGAAGAGCTTGTATAAAGATTGTCCATGTAACCAATGCTTCCAACAGAAATGGGGGTCTTGGGGTTGAATTTATTGTTTCGTCTTACTGTTTGTTGCAGAGTCGTGACCTTCAGAAGGGTTGTAAAGTTCTATTTTATGGTCCTGCCGATAAAGAGACGTATGTAATTTACTACAGGAGTTCTTACAGACTTGGCTAACAGCAAGTTTGACCCAAAGTTCAAAGAAATTATGGCTCCCGTTGTTTTATTGCTGCTGTGAAATGTGCTGTTATCTGTCCTGCAGCTGTGGCTCTGCGGGCTGCACAAGGTGTTCGGCAAAGATGCTGGAAAGGGAGAGCTCTCACGTGAAGGGCAAGAGTAAGGCAAGACTGTGTGGCCATTTAAAGGCATACAGAGTTCCAGCAGGAACTGTAGGCTGGGTTGGATGGGGCTTGGAGCAAGCTGCTCCAGTGGAAGGGGTCCCTGCCCGTGGCAGGGGTTGGAGCTGGATGAGCTTTAAGGTCCCTTCCAACCCAAACCAGTCTGGGATTATGGTTGAAACGTGGATGAAATGACTGCAGAATCTGTGCTTCTCTTGCTGCTGACACTGTTTTACTGCAGGAAATTGAGGCATGGAGCAATGAAGCTGCTTGCCCAAGGTACTGAAAGATGTGGCAGAACCAGCTACAGGTTGGGTGGAGAAGTGACTCAGAGCAGCCCTGAGGAGAAGGACTTGGGGTGCTGGGTGAGGAGCAGCTCCCCATGACCCGGCTTCAGTGAGTGCTTGAGCCCAGAACGCCCCTGTGTCTTGGGCTGCACCCCCAGAGCGTGAGCAGCAGCTCAGGGAGGGGATCCTGCCCCTCTGCTGTGTGAAGGGGAGACCCCCCCTGAAGCCCTGATCCAGCTCTGGGGCAGCAGCACAAAAAGGACATGGAGCTGTTGGAACA